ATCAAAAAATTAGCTGGGCATGGTGGCGCGTGCCTGTAATCCCAGCTACTGAGGAGGCTGAGGCAGGAGAATTGCCTGAACCCAGGAGGCAGAGGTTGCGGTGAGCCGAGATTGCGCCATTGCACTCCAGCCTGGGTAACAAGAGCGAAACTCCGTCTCAAAAAAAAAAAAAAAAATTCTCCCTGCTTTACTCAGCAATCTCATGATGAAGGGAAGAGATATGAATCTGATAACAGCCTGCACTATCAAGTTTTGTCCAGATTATACTGAAGCTATTGGGTCTTTATGGAGGTGACTGGATTTCATCCAGATGTATGCCTTACAGTTTTTATTTTAATGATGTTATATGCACAGTGAGACCAGTTGGTCAAGGAGATCCAACATTGGTTGGAGGGCTTCATAGGCATCTTAGCCAAAAGGACTGATTCAGAAACAAAATAAACTCATTTGTAAGGAAGATATGAAAAGAAACAGCTGTGAGGCTGCCTTCAGTGCTTAGAAGACATCAGTCGGGGACTTTTTGCCGTTCTTTTCTAGGCCATACTCCAACACACATGGGCAAATTAAATTATAGAGTCGGTTCATGAATGGGAAGCCGAAGTGAAAAAAAAAAAAAACCCACTCAGGAAAAACAGCATCTGTTTTTACAAGATCCTTAGCTTTTTTTTCTCAGTTAAAGGAAGACTGAAAGAAAAAGTTGAGCCGGGAAAGTCTTATTTGGAGTATTTGGGTGCTTCAGGCTCACACTCTGTTTAATGTGGCGGTGCGTGTTGCTGGCTGTCACTGTAAACATTTTAACTGGTCCTGCTAGGGAAACATGATTTTTTTCCTCCTGTCAAAATAGTTTCACACTATACATGCTGGTGTTTTCTTTCTTTCTTTCTTTCTTTCTTTCTTTCTTTCTTTCTTTCTTTCTTTTTTTTTTTTAACACCCTGGCTTCACTCATTCAAAATTAAGGCAACATCCTTTTTAATAGTTTCATCATTTTCAATGGTATGGATAAACAACAGGTTATTGAATCATTCCCAAATTAAGTTCTTTTCAGCTTTAATCCATTATAAACCTTTTTTTTTTTTTTTTTTTTTTTGAGGCAGAATCTCACTGTCGCCCAGGCTGAAGTGCAACAGCATGATCTCAGCTCACTGCAACCTCTGCTTCCCAGGTTCAAGCTATGCTTCCACCCCAGCCACTGAGTAGCTGGTACTACAGGCATTATGCCCAGCTAATTTTTGTATTTTTGTAGAGACAGGGTTTCACCATGTTGGCCAGGCTGGTCTCGAACTGCTGACCTCAGGTGATCCGCCTGCCTCAGCCTCCCAAAGTTCTGGGATTACAGGCATGCACCACCCTGCCCCACCATTGCTCTGTGTAATCTTTATGTACAGATACAAACAAACCCTTTTAGTCTGAGAAGTGGAGCTTCTGAGTCAGAGTTTACAGGGCTGAAATGTTGCTTCACACAGCTCTAAATGTGGACTGACCTAGTGTCTGCGTCAACCTTGGTAATATAGGGTATCATCAGTCTTTTAGGTCTTATAATGCAGTGATTGTAACAAGGTACCTTTTGTTTTCTTTAACACTGATTTTCTTTTTCCTTTCTTTCTTTTGTTTTTTGAGATGGGGGGTCTCACACTGTTGCCCAGGTTTGAGTGCAGTGGTATGATCTCAGCTCACTGCAACCTCCACTTCCCAGGCTCAATCCTCCTGCCTCAGTCTCCTGATTAGTTAAGACTACAGGTGCACACGACCATGCCTGGCTAATTTTTTTTTTTTTTTGACATGGAGTTTCACTCTTGTTGCCTAGGCTGGAGTGCAGTGGCGCAATCTCGGCTCACTGCAACCTCCGCCTCCTGGGTTCAAATGATTCTCCCATCTCAGCCTCCGGAGTAGCTGGGATTACAGGCATTTGCCACCACGCCCAGCTAATTTTGTATTTTTAGTAGCAATGTCATTTCTCCATGTTGGTCAGGCTGGTCTTGAGCTCCCGATCTCAGGTGATCCGCCCACCTCAGCCTCCCAAAGTGCTAGGATTACAGGTGTGAGCCATCGTGCCTGGCCCAGAGATTGTATTTATTTAGATTCCCTATACTTTCCCCCAGTTTATATGGTTATAGGATAAGGGTGGGCACAGTGGTGGGTAGTAGTTTCGAAGAGGGAATGGAAGTAGTTTGGGAGAAGGAATGGAAGAGAAAAAAGTTTTCATATTTATGATGTACATCATTTTGGGAGCTCTGTGGCATTATTTCATTGCTGCTTTTTCTCCTTTTAGCTCTGGCTTATCAGTACTTTGAAGTTCTCCAACAGAGGAATCTTGAAAAGGACTGACCAGTTTTTGCAGTTCTAAAACCATGGCCCATGTAAGTTAATGTTTCTCCCTCCTTTTCAAAATACTGCCAATTTCTGTATCATGTCTATGGATTCATTTCTTATTCTGAAACTTTCTGTTTAGCAGAGTTTCATCCAAGAGCCTGCTCCATGGCCAGGCGCAGTGGCTCATGCCTGTAATCCCAGCACTTTGGGAGGCCGAGGCAGGCAGATCACCTGAGGTCAGGAGTTCGAGACCAGCCTGGCCAACATGGCAAAACCCTGTCTCTGCTAAAAATGCAAAAATTAGCCAGGCATGGTGGCGCATGCCTGGTAGTCCCAGCTATTCAGGAGGCTGAGGCAGGAGAATCACTAGAACCTGGGAGGCAGAGTCTGCAGTGAGCCGAGATCATGCCACTGCACTCTAGCCTGGCCACAGAGCAAGACTCCGTCTCAAAAAAAAAAAAAACAAAAAAAAAACCAGCTCCAGTTTTTTTTCCTTCTGTGAGAATTGGGGATAGTTAGCACAGTGTTCTGGGTGCCTATCCCTTTTCCCACAAAATCTTCTGTCAAGAGCCATGAGAGAGCAGAAACGAGATGCCTTGAGAAAACCAAAGGCATTCTCTGCAGAATGTCCTCCTGTTAACATGTCCCAGTGCAACTGCTTTTCATTTTAAAACTTAAACTCTAGAAAAAGTATATTTCTCTCAGTACAGTGATTTTTGGCTTCATTTTACATAGGAAAAATGGGTGTCCCTGATACACAATATGACTTTTTTTTTTTGAGACAGAATTTCAGTGCAGTGGTCTGATCTTGGCTCACAGCAACCCACCTCCCCGGTTCAAGCAATTCTCCTGCCACAGACTTCCAAGTAGTTGGGATTACAGGTGCCTACCACCACTCCTGGCTAATGTTTGTATTTTTAGGAGACAGGGTTTCACCATGTTGGCCAGGCAAGTCTTGAACTCTGGACCTCAGGTGATCTGCCCACCCTGGCCTCCCAAAGTGCTGATATTACAGGCGTGAACCACTGCACCCAGCCACAATATGATATTTTAAAAACATTTTTCAATTTTTTTGTGGAGGAATGATATATATGCAAAAATATATACACACCATAAGTGTACAGCTGAATGAATTTTCATAAATTGAGTAAATCTACACTGTCAGGTCAATTAAGGAAAGCACCTCAGATGCTTTCAGTCATTCTCCACTCACCCACTGCTTGAGTAACCACCATCGTGATGTCAAACACTATAAAGTAAGTTTGCTTATTTTTGGAACTTTGTTCAAGTGGGCCAGGTGTGGTGGCTCATGCCTGTAATCCCAGCACTTGGGGAGGCCAAGATGGGTGGATCACTTAAGCTCAGGAGTTCTAGACCATCCTGGGCAACAAGGCAAAACCATGTCTCTACAAAAAAACCCACAAAATCTCACTGGACATAGTGGCATGTCTATAGATGCAGCTACTCAGGAGCCTGAGGTGGGAGGATGACTAGAGCTTGGGAGGTGGAGGTTACAGTGAACCGAGATCGCACCACTGCACTCCAGCCTGGACGTCAGAGCCAGACCCTGTCTCAAAAAGAAAAAACAAAAACGTGGTTCAAATGGGATCATATAGTTCAACACAATTTTTTTTTTGAGACAGATTCTTGCTATGTTGCCCAGGCTATAGTGCAGTGGTGCAATCTCGGGTCACTGCAACCTCCACCTCCCGGGTTCAAGTGATTCTTGTGCCTCAGCCTCCCAAGCAGCTGGGATTACAAGTGCCCACCACCATGCCCAGCTAATTTTTATATATTTTTTTTTTTGTAGAGACAGGGTTTCACCATGTTGGCTAGGCTGGTCTCAAACTCCTGATCTGCCCACCTTAGCCTCCCAAGGTGCTGGGATTATAGATGTGAGCCATTACAATGCCCAACTTTGTTTTTTCTTTATAGAGACAAGATCTCCCTTGGTCACCCAGGCAGGAATGCAGTGGCACGACTACAACTGACTGCAGTCCCAACCTGTTAGCTCAGGTGATCCTCCCATCTCAGCCTCCTGAGTACTGGGGACTACAGGCACATGTCACCACTCCTGGCTAATTTTTTAAATTTTTGTAGAGATGGGGGTCTCACTGTGTTGCCTAAGCTGAACTCAAACTCCTCGGCTCAAGTGATCCTCTCACTTCAGCCTCCCAAAGTATTAGCATTACAGGTGTGATCCATCCTACCCAATCCAATACAATGTTGTTTTTTTTTTCCCCTCAAACAAAAATAACATCCAGGAAGAGTCTCTTTTTGTTGTTGTTATTGTTTTTGAGATACCCAGGCTGGAGTGCAGTGGCATGATCTCGGCTCACTGCCACCTCTGCCTCCCAGGTTCAAGTGATTCTCCTGCCTCAGCCTCCGGAGTAGCTGGGATTACAGGCATGTGCCACCGTGCCTGGCTAATTTTTGTATTTTTTAATAGAAATAGGGTTTCACCATATTGGACAGGCTGGTCTCCTGACAGCACCTGACTTCATGATCTGCCTGCCTTGGCCTCCCAAAGGGCTGGGATTACAAGTGTAAGCCACCCCACCCAGCCTGAAAGAGTCTTATTCTATCCCAAATACAGTTGTTAGGCCAGTGGAAACATCTGCAGATGTTTTGAAATGTGTGTAACTATCATTCAGGTACATATGTATACCTGGTGCTGCAAGTGACTGAGGCGGTAACAGCACCATCGTGTCAGCCGTTCCTGCTGTTATGTTCTTGTTGGAAACACTTTTCCATATTGTGGTTCACATGTAGCCCTTGTTTTTGTCTAGTGTAAAATGAGTTCCTAAAAGGTTGGAAAAATGTTGAAGAAAATTGTGGAGAAAGAAACAAAGCAAGTGAGAAAAATGAATTTAGTAAAAGAGATATTAAAATACTAAAAGCAAAGATGTTTTGTGTGCACTGACCCACTGTGTCCCATAATTCTATATTGGAGGAAAAAGTGCAAAGCTAGTTGGACGGATGGAATTGACATATAACGCATTATAATGCTCTGATTTAACATAATGGGAGGCTGTGTATAGTGACTCATGCCTGTAATCCCTGCTTTGAGAGGCCATTGCCGGAGGCCAGCGATTCACAGTTTCAGTGAGCTATGATCACATCACTGCATTCCAGCCTGGGCAACAGTGAGACCCTGTCAAAAAAAAAAAAAAAAAAAAAAAAAAGGAGAAAGAAAGAAAGAAAAGAAAGAAAATAGAAAATAAAATGGTGAGAAAATAGGTACTTGGTTAATTGTTCAAATGTCTGATTTTCATAAATGGATTACTGATGTTAAGTGGGAGGTCCCTATTTTGAGCTTTCCTTAAGATCTGTGGTTTGATGAAATAATGTGGTCTTATCTGACTGCTTATAAGGAAAACTCTAAACATCTCCACAGATCTGAGTTTTTCAAGTATATAAGATAGGATTTAGTGTTGGCTGACCTTAATTTCTATGTGTGTTGAGACCCTATGCTATGTAAGGCTATTAGGGTTAGGTGAATTGGGTAGGGATGTAATTGGGCCTTATAAGGTAAGACCTAAGCTTTCATGTGTGCCTCGACACCTTTGTCAGGGCCCTAAAGGCCTAACCATGAGTTCCTCTACCTTACCCGATATGCCCCATGCCCAGTGGGAAAGGCTTCCTACCCAGCTAGTTCTCCTATGAGCTGGACCAGTTATATCCCTTGTGCTTCTCAACCTAATGGGTTTCACCTCCCTGCCAGCCCATGTAATTATTCAGACAAGCCAATCAAATACCACTGCAGGAACCAGATAATAACACCTCACCTTGTTATTACTGTAAACCCTGCCTCCCACATGCCTGCTCATTCATGCTCTTCATTTTTTTTTTTTTTTTTTTTTAAATAAAGACAGGGTTTCACCATGTTGGCCAGGCTGGTCTTGAACTCCTGACCTCAGGTGATCCGCCCACCTTGGCCTCTCAAACTGCTGGGATTACAGGCGTGAGCCACCGCACCTGGCCTCATGCTGTTCTTGAGTGCAACCCCTTGGTGGCTCTGCATAATGTATGATGTCCTCTCTCAGGCTCTGAATATATGCATCTAACAAATTGCTGTCAATCTCATCTGTCTGGTATGGGCTATTTGATTATCTTGGACTTTTTAGGGCAGGGATCCCTCCTTCACCAATATAGGTACATCAATCAATGGAGATTTTCTCCTGTGGAGAAGAATGCCAGGAACGAAGTCCATTGTTTATTTTTACAGGATGTGCTGGTCTAGAGCAGGGTTTCTCAGCCTGGAACGATTGACTTTGCTTTTTTTGAGACTTGCGTCTTAATCTGTCTCCCAGGCTAGAGTGCAGTGGTGTGATCTCAGCTCACTACAACCTCCATTTCCTGGGTTCAAGAGCTTCTACTGCTTCAGCCTCCTGAGTAGCTGAGATTACAGGCTCCCACCACCACACCCAGCTGATTTTTGTATTTTTAGTAGAGATAGAGTTTCACCACATTGACCAGGTTGGTGCCAGGCATGGTGGCCTGTGTCTCTAGTCCCAGCTATTTGGGAGGCTGAGGCAGGAGAATCGCTTAAACTTGGGAGGCAGAGGTTGCAGTGAGCCAAGATTGTGCCACTGCACTCCAGCCTGGGCGACAGCAAGACTCCATCTCAATAAATAAATTAATTAATTTTAAAAAATGTAGACTGCCATTGAACCAATTTTTGAAAGTTTACTAAAGAATTGGTTGTAAAAGGGAAAGTGTTTACAATTAAACCTGACTTTGTGATGAACTTGAGTTCATCTTCTTACGAGATTCTGTAGCACATGTGGATCAATTTTTTCTTAAATGATCATTAGAGAGCCCAAGACCTCATATTTCTTTTTTTTTTTGAGACGGAGTTTCACTCATGTTACCCAGGCTGGAGTGCAATGGCGCGATCTCGGCTCACCGCAACCTCTGCCTCCTGGGTTCAGGCAATTCTCCTGCCTCAGCCTCCTGAGTAGCTGGGATTACAGGCACGCGCCACCACGCCCAGCTAATTTTTGTATTTTTAGTAGAGACGGGGTTTCACCATGTTGACCAGGATGGTCTCGATCTCTTGACCTCGTGATCCACCCGCCTCGGCCTCCCAAAGTGCTGGGATTACAGGCTTGAGCCACCGCGCCCGGCCAAGACCTCATATTTCTTTTTTCTTTTATTATTTTTAAATTTCTTTTTTGTAGAGGCAGGGTCTTGTTAATGTTGATCAAGCTGGTCTTGAACTCCTGGGCTCAAGTGATCCTCTCACCTGGGCCTCCCAAAGTGCTGGGATTATAGGCATGAGCTGCGCCTGGCCTCAAGACCTCATATTTCTAAAGAATTTATGGTGGAGGCATGTAGTATTCAAAAGGCTTGTGTGTATTATTTCATTTAATTGGGATTTTTTTGTTATGTATTCATTTCTAGAAATGTTTTGATGAAAACACAATCAGATCTGTACCCACAGGACTATTTAAGAACATGTAGGGTCAATGCTTCAGAAATAGTAATTTTCTTACTGGCCCCTACTCATGTTACAAGTTTTCAGCCCAATGCTTTGCATGCCATGTGATCCCTCTCTGCAATGCAATCCGCACTCTCCCCTCTTTCCATATTAAAAATATGTAATTTATTTTCACAAGTAATACCTGAGTTTGTTTTTTCAGGGTTCAGTGACATTCAGGGATGTGGCCATAGACTTCTCACAGGAAGAATGGGAATTCCTGGACCCCGCTCAGAGGGACTTATATAGGGATGTAATGTGGGAGAACTACAGCAACTTCATCTCACTAGGTAAGGTTATTTATCCCAAATGATATTAGCTTTCTCTCCTGTCAATTTCAGGACTACATTTAGAAAAACTATCTAAAACTTCTATTCTCTGTTCCCAAAGGAATGATTTAAGCTTTGTTAGGTTAGAAATAGGCCTCTCCATTTCATCATGTCCAGTCTGGTATGTCCTTCAGACTTCCTTCAGACTTTGTAATTCCTGATTTCCTTAGTATCCAAGGGGATGGATTTGAATATGGCAAAAGCATTGTTCAAGAAACCAGATTTCACATTGTATTGGAACTCAGAATTGACATAAATGCTTCACACCACTTTCTGGTCCATCTGCAAGCAGAATACTGAGATATAGGGGTTCTGAGTTTCTCGAAAAATCAAAGGAGTCTGTAGAACATAGTGTGAGATGGATCCAGAATGGTCATTTAAAACTCGTAACCGCGCATGGCAGCACGTGCCTGTAATCTCAGCTACTCGGGAGGCTGAGGCAGGAAAATCACATGAATTCAGGAGGCGGAGGTTGCCGTGAGCTGAGATTGTGCCACTGCACTCCAGCCTAGGCGACAGATCGAGACTCTATCTCAAAAAATACCTCAAGGCCAGGCACGGTGGCTCACGCCTATAATCCCAACATTTTGGAAGGCTGAGACAGGTGGAGCACTTGAGGTCAGGAGTTCAAGACCATCCTGGTCATCATGGTGAAACCCCATCTCTACTAAAAATACAAAAATTAGCCAGGCATGGTGGCCGGTGCCAGTAAATCCCAGCTACTCAGGAGGCTGAGGCAGGAGAATTGCTTGAAGCCGAGAGGTGGACGTTGCAGTGAGCTGAGATCGCACCACTGCACTCTGCCTGGGTGACAGAGCAAGACTGTCTCAAAAAAAAAAAAAAAAAAAAAAAAGGCCTGAAACACATTCTGTTTCCTACAACAGACATATTTAGTTCTACCTACTTTGTAATTGAAAATTAAAATCTAAAGGCCTTGCATTTAACATTGAATGAATATCCTATAAAAGGTCTGAGACTGTCTCCAAAAACCTTTTATTATGCACTCAGCAAAATAACAGTAAATAGCTAATAGCTAATACATATGTGTATAAGTTAATACCACCATATGTTTGTGCTTACACATTATTCGAAGCATTGTTCATTATTAATCCTCACAACAACTCTGCGAGAAGATATATTATCCTCATTTTATTTGAGAAAATGTAGACACAAAAGGTTAAAAATTTGCTAGATAACAGAAACAAAGGCAGGATGTGAAGCCAGACAGTCTGGATCCAGTCTGTGTTCCCTTACCTCTACACAATAATTCCTTTCAACAGAGCCTGTGTGAGGTTAAATTATTTTAAGGCCTGTTCTTGACCAGATGGTTAATATAATGGCCTTGATATAATTAATTTAACCTCACACAGGCTATTCCTTGTGATTCTCAAGTTACCTTAATATGAGCGTTCTTCAACTCCCTTGTAATTCTTTGCTCTTAGGCCTTATAAAGTGCCATATTGATCTATAATTATAAATGTAATTAAATATGAATCTAAAGACTTTGGGTGTATAATTTCATGTCACATTTTTCTTTTAAGCAGGGCCTTCCATTTCTAAAACAGATGTGATTACCTTATTGGATGAAGAAGGGAAGGAACCTGGGATGGTTGTGAGGGAAGGGATAAGAAGATACTGCCCTGGTAAGTGAGGGCTGAGAAGGCATTGACAAATCATTACTGCAGGTGATAGCTAAACTGATTAGGGTGGAGGCACGGCTTGAGATGTTGGGATCTTTCTTCAAAAAGCCCATGGCCAATGGAGGAAGGGCTTGGGACCCGAAGCAAATTAAGATCTTTTAAGCCTGGACTAGCAAAGGAACTTTTATTGACCTTGATTTCAACAATTGTTTCTCATCTTTCATGTTTCTATCCCACTTTAAAGAGAAGAACTATTCCTGGTAGAAGAAACAAAAATTAAATATAAGAGCAGAAATCAACAAAATAGAAAAGAAATAGGGAGGCCGGGCGCGGTGGCTCAAGCCTGTAATCCCAGCACTTTGGGAGGCCAAGACGGGTGGATCACGAGGTCAAGAGATCGAGACCATCCTGGTCAACATGGTGAAACCCTGTCTCTACTAAAAATACAAAAAACATTAGCTGGGCATGGTGGCGCGTGCCTGTAATCCCAGCTACTGAGGAGGTTGAGGCAGGAGAATTGCCTGAACCCAGGAGGCGGAGGTTGCGGTGAGCTGAGATCGTGCCATTGCACTCCAGCCTGGGTAACAAGAGTGAAAATCCGTCTCAAAAAAAAAAAAAAAAAAAAAGAAAAGAAATAGGGAAAATTAATAAAGCCAAAAATTGATTTCTTGAAAAGATCAACAAAGGTGTTAAACACCTAGTAACTTACGTTCTCTCTTTTTAAAGAACATGAATTACTAATATCAGGAATGAAAGAGGGGTTTTCACTTTAGATCCTATAGCCATTAAAAGAATAATAATAGTCTAGGCGCTGTGGCTCACACCTATAATGAGGCCGAGGCAGGCTGGTCACTTGAGGTCAGGGGTTCCAAACTAGCCTGGCCAACATGGTAAAACACTGTCTCTACTAAAAATACAAAAATTAGCTGGGTGTTGTGGTGGGCACCTGTAATGCCAGCTACTTGAGAAGCTGAGACCTAAGAGTTGCTTGAAACCAGGAGACGGAGGTTGCAGTGAGCCAAGATTGCACCACTGCACTCCAGCCTGGGTGACAGAGGGAGACTCTGCCCCTACTCCAAAAAGAAAAAAAAGAATTATAAGAGAATGCCATGAATTACTATATGCCAGTAAATTTGATAAGTGAAATTTTAAAATTTCTAGAAAAATACAACTTAACAGAACGGACACAAGATAAAAAAGAAATTGAATACCCTTCTGCTATTAAAGTAATTGAATTCATTATCAGAAATCTTCCACAAAGAAAATGCCAGGCCCAGATGGTTTCACTGGTGAATTCTGTTAAATATCTAAGGAAGAAATAGCAGCAATATTGTACAAACTCCTTCAGAAAAAGAATGCATTTTATGAAGCCAAGATAGCTCATACCATAACCTGAGAAAGAAATCACAAAAAAAAAAGCATAAACCCGTATGTTTTTCATACATAGATACAAAATTGTAACAAAATATTAACAAATCAAATCTAGTGACAACAAAAATGATGATTTAAGTAGGGTTTCTTTCTACCTGTTAATTCACCATATTAAGAGAAAAAAATGAATGACTCTTTGATCATTGTCTTAGTTCACTTTCTGTTGCTTATAACAGAATACCGTTTCGGAGGCTGAGAAGTCCAATGTCAAGGGGCGGTGTCTAGTGAGGGCCTTCTTGCTGGTGGGGACTCTGCTGAATTCCAAGGCTTTGCAGGTCATCACATGGCAAGGGGCTGAACATGCTAATGTGCTAGTTCAGGCCTCTCTTCTTATAAACTCATGAGTCGCTATCCTGTAATAACCCATTAATCTATTAACTCACCAATCCATGAATAGGTTCATCTATTCATGAGAGCAGAGCCCTCATGGCCCAGTCACCTCTTAAAAACCCCACCTCTCAATATTGCCATTAGGAATTAATTTTCAGCATGAGTTTTGGAGGCCACAAACATTCAAGCCATAGTAGTCATCTTCATAGATGTAAAAATACCATATGACAAAATCCAACATCCATTCATGATAAAAAGCTCTCAGCAAACTAGAAATTGAAGGGAACTTCCTCAACCTGGTAAGGGACATCTATTAAAAAAATACATCAGACCGGGCGCGGTGGCTCATGAGGTCAAGAGATCGAGACCATCCTGGTCAACATGGTGAAACCCCGTCTCTACTAAAAATACAAAAAATTAGCTGGGCATGGTGGTGTGTGCCTGTAATCCCAGCTACTCAGGAGGCTGAGGCAGGAGAATTGCCTGAACCCAGGAGGCGGAGGTTGCGGTGAGCCGAGATCGCGCCATTGCACTCCAGCCTGGGTAACATGAGTGAAACTCCGTCTCAAAAAAAAAAAAAAATACATCATAAACTATAAAAATTCATTATAAGTAAGAAAAAGAGACATAAAGATCAAAAAGGAAGATGTAAGTCTGTATTTGGAGATGACATGATTGTGTTCATACAAAGTCCTAAGGAATCAAGACAGCTATTCAAAGTAATAATAGAAAAATCACAATAAAATCACAGGATATAAGGTTAGTATTTATTTTTATTTTATTTTATTTATTTATTTTTTGAGACGGAGTTTCACTCATGTTACCCAGGCTGGAGTGCAATGGCACGATCTCGGCTCACCGCAACCTCCGCCTCCTGGGTTCAGGCAATTCTCCTGCCTCAGCCTCCTGAGTAGCTGGGATTACAGGCACGCACCACCATGCCCAGCTAATGTTTTGTATTTTTAGTAGAGACGGGGTTTCACCTTGTTGACCAGGATAGTCTCGATCTCTTGACCTCGTGATCCACCCGCCTCGGCCTCCCAAAGTGCTGGGTTTACAGGTTTGAGCCACCGCGCCCGGCCAAGGTTAATATTTAAAAAATCAGGCCAGGTACAGTGGCTCACACATATAATCTCACAACTTTGGGAGGCCAATGCAGGTGGATCACTTGAAGTTAGGAGTTTGAGACCAGCCTGGCCAGCATGGTAAAACCCTGTCTCTACCAAAAATACAAAAATTAGCCAGGCATGGTGGTGCGTGCCTGTAGTCCCAGGTAGTGGGGAGGCTGAGGCACGAGAATTGTTTGAACCTGGGAAGTGGAGGTTATAATGAGCTGAGATCACATCACTGTACTCCAGCCTGGGTGACAGAGTGAGACTCAGTCAAAAATAAATAAATATACATGAATAGCAAAATCAATTGTGTTTTTATATACTAGAAGCAAAAAAAATTGGAAAATTAAATAACAACTTATAGGAGTGTCAACAAACAAAATACTAAGAAGTAAGTTTGATAAAACATATGCCAGACATCTACACTGAAAACCATAGACAACTGCTAAGAGAAACTAAAGAAGGCCTGAATAAATAGAAATAATGACTTTTGGGATGGGAAGACTCAGTATTATAAAAATTTCAATTTTATTAGTTCAATATAATTCCACTCATAATCCTAGCAGGCTTTTTCTTTTGGTAGAAATTAACAAGTTGGGTGGGTGCAGTGGCTGACAGCTGTAATCCCAACATTTTGGGAGGCCGAGGTGGGTGGACCACGAGGTCAAGAGATTAAGACCATCCTGGCCAACATGGTGAAACCCCGTCTCTACTAAAAATTACAAAAATTAGCTGAGCATGGTGGCGCATGCCTGTAGTCCCAGCTACTCAGGAGGCTGAGGCAGGAGAATCGCTTGAACCTGGGAGATGGAAGTTGCAGTCAGCTGAGATTGCGCTACTGCACTGCAGCCTGGTGACACAGCGAGACTCCATCTCAAAAAAAAAAAAAAAAAGAAATTAATGAGCAGATTCTAAGATTTATACGAAATAACAAATGACTTAGCATGTCTCAAACAACTTGAAAACATAAGACTATATTATGGGACTTAGATGACATGACTTCAAGATTTTCAGGATTTAAAATTACCCAGGTGTTGTCGTGGCACACACTTGTAGTCCCAGTTACTCAGGAGGTTGAGGAAAGAGAATCTCTTGAACCTGGGAGGTGGAGGTTGCAGTGAGCCAAGATTGCTTCACTGCACTCAAACCTGGGTGACAGAGCGAGACTCCATCTCAAACAAACAAACAAACAAACAAACAAAAACGACAATGATCAATTATGTTATTGGCAGAAATCACCAAACAAAACAGAACAGAGGCCCTAGAAACATACCCTGCCACACACACACTTACTTGTTGCCCAAGCTGGAGTACAATGGTGCAATCTTGGCTCACCACAACCTCAGCCTCCCAGGTTCAAGCAATTATCCTGCCTCTGCCTCCTGAGTATCTAGGATTACAGGCATGCACCACCACGTCCTGCTAATTTTGTATTTTTAGCAGACACAGGATTTCTCCATGTTCATCAGGCTGGTCTCGAACTCCCCACCTCAGGTACCCGCCTCTGCCTCCCAAAGTGCTGGGATTACAGGCATGAACCATCGTGCCTGACCACAAAAGTTTGACTAAGTGTGGAATTGATAAGTAATAGTATAAATTCTTGTAGAAGTAAATTGATAAAATATAAAGCAGCAGTCCCCACCTTTTTGACACCAGGGACCAGTTTTGTGGAAATGTTTCTATGGACCAGGGCAGGGGAAAATGGGGGGTGGTTTGGGGATGAAACTGTTCCACCTCAGATAATCAGGCCTCAGATTCACATAAGGAGTGTGCAGCCTAGATCCCTTGCATACAGAGTTCACAATAAGGTTTGCAGGTTCGTGCTCCTGTGGGAATCTAATGTCACTGCTGATCTGACAGGAGGCGGAGCTCAAGTGGTCATGCTCGCTTACTGCTGACCTTCTGCTGTGCAGCCCGGTTCCTAACAGACCATGGACTGGTCTTGACTGGGGGGTTGGGGACCTCTGATTTAAAGGATTAGAGACAGATATACATATTCATTAATGGCTACATAATTACGATAATTGAACTGGTAATATCTGTTATGCATTTGGGATTTTTTAATTAGTGGTGATAATAGAGATTGTTTCTGCCCCCAGGGAAACTCAATGATAAGACTTAACTAACAGAATAATATGAGAATATTAATAAAATATCAAAACATTGGAGATAGTGTTATAAACATGAAAAAGAGTGTGCTTGGCTGGGCACAGTGGGTCAAGCTGTAATCCCAGCACTTTGGGAGGCCGAGGCAGGCAGATCATCTAAGGTCAGGAGTTTGAGACCAGCCTGGCAACATGATGAAACCCTGTCTCTACTAAAAATACAAAAAGATTAGCTGAGTGTGGTGGCAGGCACCTGTAATCCCAGTTACTGGGGAGGCTGAGACAGGAGAATTGCTTGAACCTGGAAGGTGGAGGTTGCAGTGAGTTGAGATTGTACCATTGCACTCCAGCCTGGGCAATAAGAGTGAAACTCCGTCTCAAAAAAAAAAAAAAAAAAAGTGTGCTAAGATAGTGTGTTGCTGTGGTTGAATGTTTGTCTCCTCTAAAACTCATGTTGAAACTTAAGCCCCAATGGGTGGGACCTATAAGGGGTGATGGAGTCATAAGGGTTTTCATGGCTTAATGGATTAATGAGTTATGGGGGTGGGACACATGGCTTTGCAAGAATCGAAAGAGAGACCTGAGCTAGCAGGCTCAGCCCCTATCACCATATGATGGTGTGCGCTACCTTAGGACTCTGCAGGGTTCTTACCAGCAGGAAGACCCTCACCAGATGCAGTCCCTCAACTCTGGAGTTCTCAGCCCCCATAATTGTTAAGAAATAAACTCCTTAATCTGTCAGGGTAGAGTAGAAATAATAATACATTCCTTTGCTTTATAAATTACCCATTTTCAGATGCTTCATTATAAGCAACAGAAAATGGACTAAGAGAAGCATAAAGTACATAGACTTAAATATGGGCAGCAGGACTAGCCTTTTTGAAGAAGTGATTTTGATTTGAGGCTTGAGAATGAAAACCAGCCAACCATGCAATGTCAGAGGATTCCTCAAAGAAGGAGCAACCTGTGAAAAGTCCTATTTATTTGGAATAGTTGTCAGGCATTTTGTGAGTTGAAAGAGGCCAGTATGGTATGAACAGAGAGAATAAATAAAAGATTTGTTGACAAGCAGCAGCTTTATTATACATGCTCAGGTATTTATATTTTATTCTAATGGTAAAGAGATAGCATTGAAAACATCTAAGTAGAGAGAGAGAGACTCAGCTATTGATAAGCATCCCAATAATTTCTTGGAGAATATAAACAAGAACAAAACAATTATTTGCCCAGGAATTTGTCCTGTAGACTGTTTTAATCGTTAAAAACACCTCTGTATCATTTAAACAAATCTCTAGGTGATTCTTATCCACAATTAAATCAGGGCTTCACTGATATGACTTGTTTTCCTAATCACCAGCCCTACCTGCACTCCTGGACTCTTTATTTGCTGTGTTTCCCTGGCTCTTTTTCAAAACGATGAGAGTACAATCTGTCCCGTGATACACATTAGCAGAATAGTAACAGAAGAATTGTATATAATGTAGAAGATGATTGGCTCATTAGTAATTTTTCTAGTCCAGTGGAGCCACGTTAGTAGAGGTATATTTGTTAGTAGAGGTATATAATGTTCAGTAGGAAAGATAAAGATCTTCCAAATGGTGCTTTATTGCTGGGAGCCCTTTCACCTGTCTTAAGAAAATTGATAATAAATGTCTACACACAGGGCTCCCTGCCCATAGAAATGTACCATCAACCTTGCATGGCCCCTTATCTAAAGACAGGTTGCACTTTACCTTATTCCCACCTTAATGGCGTCCTCACTGGCTCAGGGCTTTATTTTCATGTGCGATGCCTCAGAACCTGAAGTCTAGCATTGCCTCTTTATTTTTGTGCTTTTTAATACACATGAAGTAGATTTTAGCCATGCTGAGCTGCCTTTTAGTTTATCCCTTTAGATGTCAACTATTTCATTTGTTAGTGTTCTACTTATTAAAGACGCATACAATAGGCCAGGCATGGTGGCTCACGTCTGTAATCCCAGCACTTTGGAAGGCTGAGGTGGCTGGATCACCTGAGGTCAGGAGTTCGAGACCAGCCTGGCAAACATGGTGATACCTTGTCTCTACTAAAAAAATAAAAAAATTTAGCTGGGCTTGGTGCTGTGTGCCTGTAATCCCAGCTACTAGGGAGGCTGAGGCAGGAGAATTGTTTGAACCCAGGAGGTGGAGGTTGCAGGGAGCCGAAATTGTGCTACTGCACTCTAGCCTGGGTGACAGAGCAAGACTCCGTCTCAAAAAGAAAAAAAGATGCATAGAATTAAGTGGTCTGCTTCAGGCCTATTTTTCCCATGAACAGTAATTTTTAGTGTGTAATTTTGTAGAAGATAAGGTTTTTTAGGCAGACATATGTAACACTATGGCAGAAATATCTATGTTTGAGATCTGTCTAATCCATTCAACTTGTAACAGGCATTATTTTAGGTGCCTTTTCTCTAAAGTTTTGTTTGTTTGTTTGTTTCCTGAAACAGGAAAACAGTATGTATTTGCCTTCTTGTTTTCTTTCAGATTTGGATTCCAGATACAGGACCAATACTTTATCTCCAGAAAAGGACCTTTATGAAATATATTCATTTCAGTGGGACATAATGGAAAGAATTAAAAGCTATAGCCTTCAAGGTTCTATTTTTAGGAATGATTGGGAATGCAAAAGCAAGATTGAGGGGGAAAAGGAACCACAAGAGGGATATTTTGGGCAAGTGAAAATTACCTCTGAGAAAATGACCACTTACAAAAGGCACAGTTTTCTTACTGAGTATCAGATCGTTCATAATGGAGAAAAGGTGTATGAGTGTAAGGAATGTAAGAAGACTTTTATTCGTCGCTCAACACTTAGTCAACACCTGAGAATTCATACTGGTGAGAAACCTTACAAGTGTAAGGAATGTGGTCAGGCCTTTAGACAGCGTGCACATCTTATTCGACATCACAAACTTCACACTGGTGAGAAACCATATGAATGTAAGGAATGTGGGAAGGCCTTTACAGTGCTCCAAGAACTTACTCAACATCAGAGACTTCATACGGGTGAGAAACCCTACGAATGTAAGGAATGTGGAAAGGCCTTCAGAGTACATCAGCAACTGGCTCGACATCAAAGAATTCACACTGGTGAGAAACCCTATGAATGTAAGGACTGTGGGAAGACCTTTAGACAGTGTACACACCTTACACGCCATCAGAGACTTCATACTGCTGAAAAGCTCTATGAATGTAAGGAATGTGGGAAAGCCTTCGTATGTGGTCCAGACCTTCGAGTACATCAGAAAATTCATTTTGGTGAGAAACCTTATGAATGTAAGGAATGTGGAAAGGCTTTTAGAATATGCCAGCAACTTACTGTTCATCAGAGTATTCATACTGGTGAGAAACCCTACGAATGTAAGGAATGTGGGAAGACTTTTAGATTAAGACAACAACTTGTTCGCCATCAGAGGATACATACTCGTGAGAAACCCTATGAATGTATGGAATGTTGGAAGACCTTTAGTAGTTACTCACAACTTATTTCACACCAGAGCATTCATATTGGTGAGAGACCCTATGAATGTGAAGAGTGTGGAAAGGCCTTTAGACTGCTCTCCCAACTTACTCAGCATCAAAGTATTCATACTGGTGAGAAACCTTATGAATGTAAGGAATGTAGAAAACCTTTTAGACTGCTCTCGCAACTTACCCAACATCAGAGTATTCACACTGGTGAGAAACCTTATGAATGTAAGGAATGTGGTAAGGCTTTTAGACTTTATTCATTTCTTACTCAACACCAGAGAATTCATACTGGTGAGAAACCCTACAAGTGTAAGGAGTGTAAGAAGGCCTTTAGACAGCATTCACACCTTACTCAACATCAGAAGATTCATAATGGAATTTAATACAAGAAAGCCTTCAAATGTATATGATGTTACAGAACATCAGAAAATTCATTTTTGAGAAAATGTGTTTCATGCTCAATTCCAAGCATGATAAATTTTATAATAGAGAAAGAATATGTTGATTTAAAAGCATCCCAACACCATTTAAACATAGTTTATCTTTAGCAAATTCCTATGAGAGAATAATGAATGTAGGAAAATCTTTAGCCTTATCTGTCTTTATCTCCCTTTCACCACTTTATTACCAGTGTGATTTATTGGACAAGATACTAAACTTCTGTGCCTCATTTTGCTGACTTGTAAAATAGTAATAATAGTACTTATATGTATTAGTTATTTATTGCTGTGTAATAAATTACCACAAATTTAGTAGCTTAAAATAACATACATTTATATCTCACAATTTGGATCAGGAGTCCAGGCATGACTTAGCTGGGTCCTCTGCAAGGCTACAGAGTTTTAGCCAAGGCTGTGGTCTCATCTGAAGGCTCAATTGGGGAAGGATCCACATCGAGGCTAACATAGTTGTTACTCAAATGTATTTCCTTGAGGCCTGTTACATTGAGATTCTCAGTTTCTAGCTGGCTGTTAGCTGAATGCTGTTCCTGGCCATAATAGCCTCATCAACATGGCTGCTTGCTTCATCAAGGCATGCAAGCCAAAAGACAGTAGAGTCTGCTAGCAAGACGAAAGTTACAATCTTTTGTAATCTAATCATGGAAGTAACATTCCCTCACCTTCTACTGGTAGAAGTAAGTTACTTGACTAGCACATTCAAGAGAAAGGGATCATACAAGAGTGTGAATAGGTCCTGGAGATAGGACCGCTGGGGGGCCAGTTTAGAGTCAGCCTGCCACACTGGAATAGGATTGTTGTAAGGAGTAAGTAGTTAACACTTGGAGGAATCACAGTCATATAGCATGTATTCTGTAAATATTATCTATAATTGTTATTATTGTCATTAGTATTAATGAATTCACATAAAAAGATCTATAGATATAATAAATGTAGAAATGCCTCCTATCACCTCAGAAATTATTAAACATTTTATGCTAGGTAAAATCTAGATTGTAGTGAATGTAGGAAGTTCTTCAGCACTTGAGCTACATTAGAAATGTCATGCCAAAAAGAAACCCTGTGAATATCATAAATGTGAGGTCCTTAGTAGTACAGCTGTTAAAGAATTAGAGGGAAGTAGGAAACGATTTTCCCATAATTCCAAAAACAAAAGGCTTACAATCCCTATTGTCTAACCACAGTTCAAAATTAATTAGAAACTATCAAAAAGATGGCTTAAAAGAAATGAACCACCTAGGAATTTAATATTTTTGTGTGTATTTATGTGTGTGGGGAAGAAAGAAAATATCATTCTATACCACTCAGTATACTTTTTGATGCGCAAATTGCCATATCTTCAACCAGTAGTTGTCTCAAGTTGAGTTTTTGCTGTGATCCCACCAATAACTTGATAGCTTACTTGATTGTGGCTGCATAATTTGGTTACCTATGAAAGATGCCAGGGCACCAATTTATCATTTGTGTGTGTGTGTGCGTGTGTGTGTGAGACAGGGTGTCACTTTGTCTCCAGCCTGGAGTGCAGTAGCACAACCATAGTTCAGTGTACCCTGTTCCTCTTGGGCTCAAGTGATTCTCCTGTCTCAGCCTCCTGAGTAGCTGGGATTACAGTGTGTACCACCATGCCTGGCTAATTAAAAAAAAAAAATTTTTTTTTGTTTTCTTTTTTTTTTTTTTTTTTTCTAGAAACAGTCTTGCTATATTTCCCAGGCTGGTCTTAAACTCCTGGGCTGAAGTGATCCTCCCTCTTTGGCCTCCAAAGGTGCTGGGGTTACAGGGATGAGCCACAGCACCCAGCCTAACTCATTATTCTTGAAATCAATAAACCAGAGGAAAAATTGTCATTTAGTTTCCTTTTCCCATGTGAACCAAATTTCAGGGTAATCAGAAGTTCATCAAATTTGAATGGGTTTGGCCTGGCACAGGGGCTCATGCCAGTAATCCCAGCACTTTGGGAGGCTGAGGTAGGTGGATCATTTGAGGCTAGGAGTTCAAGAGCAACCTGGTCAACATGGTGAAACCCTATCTCTACTAAAAATAAAAAATTAGCCAAGTGTGGTGGTATACACCTGTAGTTTCAATTGAGGTGGGAGGAGCACTTGAGCCTAAGAGGCAGAGGTTGCAGTGAGTTTAGATCATGCCACTGGACCCCAGCCCGAGACTCTGTCTCAAAAAAAAAAAAAAAAGAATGGGTTTTTCTTTTTTAAAGAAGCCTAATAAATCCAGAAGGAATTATAGGATTAGAAAAATCACTGTTTTCTAGAACTTAATTGGATAATGTAGGTCCAGAAAACATGATCTTCAATGGGTACTACAACTAATAGGTGAAACATTTTATGGTGAGATTTTTCTGGTGGATTTATCAAGCTGACCACTTCTGAATGCTTTGATCTATTTTAACTTTAATAAAAATGGGTCTATCAGACAACATGCACTTCCTGCCATAATGCAGTAGGAGTCCGCACCACCATCTATGAAGCCTTATTGCTGGAATAATGAACTGAAAGAAGTGGAATAGATGAACAGTGTATGGTCATCCCTTGGCATACATGGGGAATTGGTTCCAGGGTCCTCCACTAATGGTAAAATCTGATGCTCAAGTCCCTTGTATAAAATGGCATAATATGTATTTGCATATTATCTATACAAATGCTTCTGTATACTTTTATCTTTAGATCACTTATACCTAACACAATGTAAATGTTATGTAAATAGTTGTTATACTGTATTTTGCAATTTGTATTATTTTTTATTGTATTTTTATTTTTATTAGGTTTTTTTTTTTTTTTTTGAGTATCTTCTATTTGAGGTTGGTTGAATCTGCACATGTGGAGGGCTGGCTATAAAGGGCACAAGGAAGATGCCAAACAAATCCAGAATGTGTGAAATTCTACAGAGCAAATTACCTGATTTCTTCAACTAACAGGTGGCATGAAAAATACAAGGGGAAGGGCAACCATTAACAGATTAAAAGAGACTTAAAGAGACATATCAACTAAATTCTGTATGTTGGCATTACTTGGATCTGGTTTGAACAAAACATAAAAAGCCATTTTGGAGACAGTGGGGGAAATGTGGACATCATTAACTAATTTTTTTTTTTTTTGAGACCACTCTTGTCACCCAGGCTGGAGTGCAGTGGCATGATGTCGGTTCACTGCCTTCTCCTTCTCCCGGGTTAAAGCGATTCACCTGTCTCAACCTCCCGAATAGCTGGGACTACAGGTGCACGCCACCACACTCAGCTAATTTTTTATTTTAGTACAGACGGGTTTTCACCATATTGGCCAGGCTGGTCTCAAACTCCTGACCTCGTGATCTGCCTGCCTTAGCCTCCCAAAGTGCTGGGATTACAGGCAGGAGCCACTGCACTCGGCAACATGGACTAAATATTAAATGATATTTACATATATTAATTTGGTTAGGGATGATGTCAATATGATTATAAAAAATAAAAGATCCTGTCTTAGAGATACATACTATGAAATGAAGATAGACACATTTGCATTAAAATATTACAGCAAAAGAAAAATAATTGGCAAAAAGCTGGAAAGGAAATTGGCAACATGTTGATAATTAAGTGGAGTGGTTTGTTCATGGAAATTTATTCTAATATTTCCACTTTTGTATGTGTTTGACATTTCAATAATAAAATGTTTAAAATCAAAACCAAAATTATAGACTACATAGAAATGAATGACAATGAGATGCCTACACATCTAACCTTGTCAGATACCGTTAAAGTTCTTTGTTTTTTTTTTTTGTTTGTTTTTTGTTTTTTGAGACGGAGTCTCGCTCTTGTTACCCAGGCTGGAGTGCAATGGCGCGATCTCGGCTCACCGCAACCTCCGCCTCCTGGGTTCAGGCAATTCTCCTGCCTCAGCCTCCTGAGTAGCTGGGATTACAGGCACGCACCACCATGCCCAGCTAATGTTTTGTATTTTTAGTAGAGACGGGGTTTCACCATGTTGACCAGGATGGTCTCGATCTCTTGGCCTCGTGATCCACCCGCCTCGGCCTCCCAAAGTGCTGGGATTACAGGCTTGAGCCACCACGCCCGGCCCTATACCGTTAAAGTTCTATTCAGTGAGAAATTAATGCCCTGTAATGTGCTAAGGAAATCTTATTTCTGGGCACAGTCCTCATCTTCTTCACTTATCCACAGCAGCAACACCAGGCCTGTGTCACACAGATGTATGTGTTGAGGGAATGAATTTGCATTTCCATAAGGAAAAAGGAAACAACAAAATGAAACCAATTCAAGTAAAGAACAGCCAAGTGGCTGGGTACGGTGGCTCATACCTGTAATCCTAGCACTTTGGGAGGCCAAGGCGGGTAGACCCGAGGTCAGGAGTTCAAGACCAGCCTGACCAACATGGAGAAACCCTGTCTCTACTAAAAATACAAAAATTAGCTGAGCATGGTAGCGCATGCCTGTAATCCCAGCTATTGGGGAGGCTGAGGCAAGAGAATTGCTTGAACCCAGGAGGCAGAGGTTGTGGTGAGCCGAGATCACGCCATTGCCCTCCAGCCTGAGTAACAAGAGCAAAGAGCAAAATTCTGTCTCAAAAAATACAAAAGATTAACAAAAAGTGTGTGTGTGTGTGTACTCCCTGTTTAAGTAAAAAATCTGATACTTATAAAAACTTTGATAATCTTGAAGATTTTACCAGTTAATTCTACACAGCTAAAATAATCCTTATAAAAATTAGATGAAGATAGCTTCTGAAAGTAAAATCTACACCACCTTCATTATGACGATTCTGTTCTTCACGATTCTAAATGAAGTATATTTACAATTTATTACAAAATCTTTCTTTGCTAATAGGTCAGTGTTTCCTTTTCCAAGCACCAAATACCTCCAGAAGGCCTGTGTTTGGGCCCTAAATTCAATATTCTCCAGAAGTTTGCTTCAAGGAATACTAATTCTTGATGGTATTAGAAAAAAAGATTTCTTGGGAAAATAGGCAAATGAAGCAAGGCATAAAACATCTACTTTTGCCCAGACACCGTTGTCTCATGCCTGTAATCCCAGCACTTTGGGAGGCCTAGGTGAGCGGATCACCTGAGGTCAGGAGTTCAAAAGTAGCCTGACCAACATGGTGAAACCCTGTCTCTATTAAAAATACAAAATTTAGCTGGGCGTGGTGGTGCATGCCTCTAATCCCAGCTACTTGGGAGGCTGAGGCAGGAGAATTGCTTGAACCCGGGAGGCAGAGGTTGCGGTGAGCCGAGATTGCGCCATTGCACTCCAGCCTAGGCAACAAGAGTGAAACTGTCTCAAAAAAACAAAAACAAACAAACAAAAAAACTACTTTTGAGGAATTCAAAATATCCATTATCAGTTTGTCAAAGATGTAGTAAAGACATTTTTATTTAACTGAGTGTATCTCAAATTTATTATGGAACTCTCAGTCCCAATGTCTGGAATAGGAACTGTTTTCATAGATGCTACCATAACCACAATGAATGTCTTCATGGATTTAATTTTAGACATTATGGTGAGTGGATGTGTTGGGCAGGAGTAAGTCAGGGCAATTTTTTGCAGCTCACATCGTGCTCTGAAAGTAGTTACCTGGTTGAATGGAGGGTTAGTGCTTTTCTATAGAATAGAAAATATGGCCGGGCGCGGTGGCTCAAGCCTGTAATCCCAGCACTTTGGGAGGCTGAGGCGGGTGGATCACGAGGTCAAGAGATCGAGACCATCCTGGTCAACACGGTGAAACACCGTCTCTACTAAAAATACAAAAACGTTAGCTGGGCATGGTGGTGCGTGCCTGTAATCCCAGCTACTCAGGAGGCTGAGGCAGGAGAATTGCCTGAATCCAGGAGGCGGAGGTTGCGGTGAGCCGAGATCGCGCCATTGCACTCCAGCCTGGGTAACATGAGTGAAACTCCGTCTCAAAAAAAAAAAAAAAAAAAAAAAAAAATTCCAGCCCAATCCTCAATATGTTTGTATTAAACACATTTAAATACTATTTTAAATGATGGTTAAGGACATAAATGAGTTTCTGAGGTAATAAAGATGCTATATTGAATACCATTTTGTGTATTTCCTGATTTCCTTAAAGAGTCAAGAATCTAAGGTGTTACCTAGAAATGAAATTGTTCATTGTAGGCTGTATACATGTTCAGCTTCACTGCTTATTGCCAAATTGTGGCTCCACCAGTTTGTTTTGAATCCCTTCGATCATTGAACATGAGCATTCGTATTTCCCTACCTCTGCTATCAGTCTCAATGTTTATTACACTGGGCTAGGCACAGTGGCTTATACTTGTGATCCCCACACTTTGGGAGGCCAAGGCAGGATTGCTTGAGCCCATGAGTATAATACCAGGCTGGGCAACATGGCAAAACCCCGTCTCTACAAAATTATTCACATGTAGTGGCATGTGCCTGTGGTTTCAGCTACTTGGAATATTCACATGTAGTGGCATGTGCCTGTGGTTTCAGCTACTTGGAAGGTTGAAGTGGACAGATTACTCGAGTCTGGGAAGTTGAGGCTGCAGTAAACCGTGATCACACCACTGCACTCTAGTCTGAGTGTCGGAGTCAGACCCTGTCTCAAAAAAAAAAAAAAAAAAATCCTGATTACAACTGAGTCAAGCATCTTTTCATTTGTGTTTATTGGCCAATCGTGTTTTCTTCACTGTGCTTTTTAATGATGCATTTGCTCTATTCCTTTTGCATTATCTCATTTATTGATTTTCAGGATTCTTAAAATATTTTAGGTATTGATCATTTTAGGTATTAAACATTTATAAATCTTGAATTTACCTTCTTTTAAGGTGGCTTGTGTTAAAATTGTGTTATGGTGTTTATTGTTTTACTGGCATTTTAACACTTAGATACTCTTAATTTTCAGCCTTACTAGATACTTCTTTTTTTAAAATTATTATTTTAGTCTTTTATGTTTTCTGCCATGCAGTCATGGACATGCACATAGAAATAACTTTCCTCAATATTTATTTATTTATTTATTTTTTGAGACGGAGTTTCGCTCTTGTTACCCAGGCTGGAGTGCAATGGCGTGACCTCGGCTTACCGCAACCTCTGCCTCCTGGGTTCAAGCAATTCTCCTGCCTCCTGAGTAGCTGGGACTACAGGTGTGCACCACCATACCCAGCTAATTTTTTTTTGTATTTTTAGTAGAGACGGGGTTTCACTTTGTTGACCAGGACGGTCTCCATCTCTCTTTTTTTCTTTTTTTTTTTTTTTTTTTGAGACGGAGTTTCACTCATGTTACCCAGGCTGGAGTGCAATGGCCCGATCTCGGCTCACCACAACCTCCGCCTCCTGGGTTCAGGCAATTCTCCTGCCTCAGCCTCCTGCGTAGCTGGTATTACAGGCACGCACCACCATGCCCAGCTAATTTTTTGTAGTTTTAGTAGAGACGGGGTTTCACCATGTTGACCAGGATGGTCTCGATCTCTTGACCTCGTGATCCACCCGCCTCGGCCTCCCACAGTGCTGGGATTACAGGCTTGAGCCACCGCGCCCGGCCGGTCTCCATCTCTTGACCTTGTGATCTACCCGCCTCAGCCTCCCAAAGTGCCTGAATTATAGGCATGAGGCACCGTGCCCAGCCCCTCAATATTTATTGTATTTGCATTTCTTATTGCAGTCACTGGAATCTTCAAAATAAAGTTGAGTATTAGGGTGGACAGTGGACATTTTCCTTATTTTCCCAATTGAATGGAAATTGCATATTATTTAAACATTTAGTGTAATGCTTCTTCTTGATTTAGGGTATATAGACCCTAATATACCTTATATATACCCTATATAAGTAGTTTTGTTCAGTCGCCGTTTTACTTGATGCCCAATGACTTAGGAGGCTGAGGTGGGTGGATTACTTGAGCCCAGAAGGTAGAGACTGCAGTGAGTTGTGATTCTGCCACTGTACTCCGGCCTGGGCCACAGAGCAAGACTCTGTCTTAAAAAAAAGAAATTAACTAGAACCACAGAACTTTCAGGAAAGTGATATATTTATGGCTAGTTTTTGTGTTTTTTTTTTTTGAGACGAGGTCTTGCTTTGTCACCCAGGCTGGAGTGCAGTGCTGTGATCTTAGCTCACTGTAATCTCTGCTTCCTGGGTCCAAGCAATTTTCCTGCCTCAGCCTCCTGAGTAGCTGGGATTATAGGGGCCACCACGATGCTGGCTAATTTTTGTATTTTTAGTAGAGACAGGGTTTCACCATCTTGGCCAGGCCAGTCTCGAACTCCTGATCTCAAGTGATCCACCCGCCATGGCCTCCCTAAGTGCTGGGATTAAGGGCGTGAGCCACCGCACCTGGCCTTATGGTTAGTTTTATTAGAGAAGGGATACAGGTTAGAATCAGCTAAAGAGACTCGCCAGGCAGAAAGTACAGGAGGGCTCCACACGTGGAGGAGCTTCCAGCCCTCCCCTCCCTGCGGAGTCATGGATGGCATTACCTCTTTCTGACTGCAATGTGTGACAATATGCAGTGTTGCCAACCAGGAAAGCTTCCCTGAGCTTTTAGTCCCCAGTTGTTATTGGGTCTTGATCACATCCCACCTAGGTGGCTGGTCATTAATCTTCAACTCCGCCAGGAGGTTCAGGCGCATAGCTTGAGTCTTCAATTCCTCCAGGGGTAGAAACTGACATGGCCCACACCAAAGCCCTCATTAATCACATTGTTAGATTGTCTGGTGGTCAAAGTCCCCAAGGAAACAAAGACATATCTACATTCCAGGGCCCTAGAGATCACCTACAAATCTGAAAACATAAAACATGCTCTTGCTTGTAAATAAAACTGTATATAGTCCACTCTCAAGACTTCTGTTAGGGGAAACAACTCCATGGCATCACACTGGGCTGCCACCAAGAATCAGTATCATGTAGGATTGATGAGAGCAGAGGTGTAAGCCAAAGTGAATTTTTTTTTTTTTTTTGAAACAGGATCTCACTCTGTCACCCAAGCTGGAGTGCAGTCGTGCAATATCAGCTCACTGCAACCTCTGCCTTCCGAGTTCAAGCAATTCTACTGCCTCAGCCTCCCGAGTAGCTGGGACTATAGATGCCTGCCACTGTATTTTGTAAAAACACAAAATTTTTGTATTTTTAGTAGAGATGGGGTTTCACAATGTTGGCCAAGCTGGTCCTGAACTCCTCACAACAGGTGATCTGCCTGCCTTAGCCTCCCAGAGTTCGGGGATTACAGGTGTGAGCCACCACCCGACATGTTTGACTGTATTCTCTTTTACCAACACACAAGAAAATAATGATGTCTTAAAGACTGCAGGTAGCTGAAAAAAGTATTACTGGAAAAAGACACAGAGTAAAAGTATCCTACTATACCATGGAATAGAAACAGGTCATTATTAATTGT